TTCACCTCTGGGTAAAGGTGAAATAGACAAAAAAAGGCCATTTTGACAGGAGTAATTACGTGTTTTAAAAATTCTGAATTAATTTTTCATTTTAATTAAAAAAGTTGCGGGTATTTGGGAATGACAAAAGAGCCACATTTGCTCCATTCTGAGCTGTATTTGGCTCAAGAGCCACAGGTTGCTGACCCCTGCTCTAGCGAAAACAATGCCATAGCTAATTGTAAACCCTGCGAGGACTGCACGGGACCCAGCAGCCTTCAGCAACCCAATCGTCTCCTGGGTTAGATCAGAAATGTGAAGTGTCATTTTAAAATTACAGCTTCGCCATTTATTTGGTGACAAACGCAGCTTTCTTTGCGAAGTCAGAGTCTCTCTCTAAACTGGGAATGAAAACTACCTTAGCAGACCCGTGCTGTGTTTTGCTTTAAACAGTGTGCAAACATTTCCAGCTAACACTGTATAAATATTGGCCAGTGTGGATCAGGCCACACTGAGTTTATACCCCTCCCCAGCTATCTCCAGTTTTGGCAGTGAGCATTGGAGAGGCAGGGTGGTCCAGTGCAGAGAACTGGAAGTCAGGTTGCCTAGGTTCTTCTCCCAGCTGGGCACATTGACTCAGCTCTCTGTGCCTCAGTTTCCCTATCTGTACAATAAAATACTCGTTCCTTTTGCCCTCCAATAAGAATATAAGAATGGCCGTACTGGGTCAGACCAAAGGTCCATCTAGCCCAGTATCCTGTCTACCGACAGTGGCCAGCACCAGGTGCCCCAGAGAGGGTGGACCGAAGACAATGATCAAGCGATTTGTCTCCTGCCATCCCTCTCCAGCCTCTGACAAACAGAGGCCAAGGACACCATTTTATCCCCTGGCTAATAGCCTTTTATGGACCTAACCTCCATGAAATTATCTAGCTTCTCTTTAAACTCTATTATAGTCCTAGCCTTCACAGCCTCCTCTGGCAAGGAGTTCCACAGGTTGACTACACGCTGTGTGAAGAAGAACTTTCTTTTATTAGTTTTAAACCTGCTACCCATTAATTTCATTTCCATGTTTTGTTAGTCTTTAAGGTACTACTAGACCAGTGGTCTCCAACCTTTTTACACCCAAGATCACTTTTTAAATGTCAGGACAAGCCAAGATCTACCCCATCCCTTTCCCACAACTTTACCCCTTCCTTGAGGCCCCACCCTCTCTGTTCCCCTTCTCTCCATCACTTGCTATCCCTGGCCCTTATACACTCTCAGGGTACAGCTACACTGCTGCTTTTTTTCAGCCGTGAAAAAAAAGAAAGAAGAAGTTTTTCTGACATTTGGCCCATCTAGACTGGGCCAAATGTAGGAAACCCAACTAAAATGATTAAGGGTTTGGAACGGGTCCCATATGAGGAGAGGTTAAAGCGACTAGGACTTTTCAGTTTAGAAAAGAGGAGACT